GAACACTCGTAATCGCAACTCGGCACTGATCCCACAGTCACACTCAGACATTCAAAAGCACAACCATGAGTGTGGATGCTAGTCTTGACTCAACATACATCAGCACCCAGATCCTCATAGCCACAGTCACACCCGATGAGAACGAGACTTGGTATCTCTTTTTCAACCACTCATCCGAATCTACAAGGTTGTCAAACACTCCTCATAGTTTTTGAATAGATAGACGAGTATCAGTTGATTCTTCTATAGAAGCCAAACTTTATTTTAACATGGTTTTTAAATATTTAAAAGAATGAAAAGTTACGTTCAAATTGAAATATACTCTATGTTTAAGTTTCAATCTTGCTTTCCATGATACACTGGTAACGAGAATTTTTGTTTTTATTGTTCTATTTCAGAGTAACAGTACTCGAATCAATGCTAGTAATTTATCAGAAATATAAAGCCAATATGCTGCGTATTCAGATATCTATATCTATTACAATATCTTCATATTCTCTATACCTTCATTTGTCTATAGTAAGAGATGTATCCCTGCGAATTTTAGACAGGCATCGATAACTATCGATCAATGTTTTCGAGCATCTATGGAGTTCATTTGTATACCCTTCAGCGAATCATAACTAACACTGTGTGATTCAGGGACTTTATCGTACATCGATACTCACAATAAAATTGTTTTAGTTTCAATCGAATTCGGGTCATATATATTCAGGTTATGGAATTATGAAAGCGGGAACTTTCAACTCATAAAGTCTTTACCTTCGTAGGTTATCAAGTTCGTAGTGGAACAGAACCGCTCATATTGTTTCTCTGCTGTACGCAGTCGAATAGTGACACAGTTTTGTAAGCATCATATATGATTCATACGATTGAAAATGCAGTGAACGAAGAGAATGAGGGAAAAGACGACCTTCGTGGGACTCAAGCAAACATCTCCTGCTATCCGGGCAAATGTCCTAAGCCAATTAAACCAGAAAGCGTGTCTTAATCTTGGTTTAGCATCGCAGCATATCATCTCTGACGCTAACAGTTTTTTGTTGCTGATCTAGATTTATTGGATAGAATGTGATTGTGAGTAAGAGTTAAGAGGAGAGCCATATCGATGCTGCTTCGTTCAAGAAAGAACATAAGAGAGATAAAAAAATTAAAAGTGAATGATATATTTGTTTACCTTAAATGGCTCGAGAGAGAAAAACTACATTACTGTAGTAAATATACTGACTGCTGAGTTAGTTTTGTGGAACTCACATATTTTTTGAGAAAAATGGTGAGTGTAAGTTTAAGATCGAGTTTTTGTGGCTCCCACTCCTGCTAGACTCCTCCTCATTACAGATCGTAGCTATGAACAATAACAGCCGTCACATTTTCTAGATTTTGTTGCAAAATTGATCAATTTATAGTTTTGAAAAATAATGAATATTACTATTTGTGAGTTAATTAATATAAATAATAGTGCTTGAGACCTGCTGTAGATATAATGAATATGTAAAACAGACATATTTGTCAATTAATTCAATAATTATAATAATAAGAATGTTAAATTAAGAAAAAAAGAATTTTAAAAAATGAAAATTCTTTTCGAAATGCAGAAATTAGAAAAGTCATTACTCTGAATATCAATTATCTTGCAAGCACCTATAATCTACGAGAGATTTATCACTTTAGGGGTTATGTATTAGTTTAATTAGGCTAGATAGTATATATGAGTTCTATATTTCAGCCTCAAAGGAGCTGCACTAACAAGCTTTTCCATGAAATAAAAGTAACGAAAATGGTTTTGATAAAACCAGGAATCTTGATACTCATCTTGTTACTGGCATATTGCCATTTTCAGGCATTAATACAGGACTTTTTATCGCTTTCAATCGCTTGGTTTCAAATTTCAGACATTTTGAAACTCGAGAACGCGATACTCACACTTTGATCAGACTATAGATAATGCTATAAGAATATTTAGCTGGACAAAGCGAGTACGGAGAATGTTGATGATATCATGTGAATATAAAGCATATTTTTAACATGCTCAGAATATGCAATTTCCGTAAGGACTACCGAATATGGGAATCCACATTTTCAATTCTTGAAGAATAATGGTTCTTTTCATTTCGCTCCTTAACGTGCTGCCAACGAATCATTTTCCATATCTAGTACTTCTAATATCCTATCTTCAGTGCAATTCATCCTTTCAGTAGAGGGTTAGCAGTGTTCGCGCTGCGTTACTTGTAATCTATTGCGTATACATCCCAACACTTTTTAGAAGTAATGTATAACAAGGCATACAGTTTTGTTAATAGTTTAATATTTTCAATAAGTGATGTGTAAATAACAGTCAATTATGATAGGATTAATTATTTAATATAATGAATCTATTAAATCAAACTCAACTTGGTTAAATTTTAACGATGGAGATACGATCTTAATGCTAGAATTCGGGTCAATTTTGATGACATCATGATGATTAGTTCTTGACTTCTTGAAGAATCAAGTAAACACGTTCATGTCATAAGAATATCGTAACATAGAAAAGCCAGAAAGAGCATATTAATCTGTTTTCAGCATGGATGAGCTTACACACGCTTTAGTTTTTGAACGTGTTCACACGCCTGAAACTGTTGCATTTGGATGCATTTCAATGCATCAAATTGCATAGCTTATAGACATTCAGGAATGCTTTAGGAGTTTAAGCATGAATACATGGACAGTAAAAAGAATATCATCGAGCTATTCTAATTTCAATAAAAATAGATAGCTTTTCGTATAGAATCTACTATTCAGGTTCTTATTATAAACTTAGATCGATTTGTCTGATTCTGAATTGCTACTCACAGAAATAACGAAAACAAGATAATCATTACTGATTGAAACCTTAAATAGATATTTGTCAAAATTATCCTTCTTGACATATGTATCATAAAGAACCATTCAGAGACGTATGATTCGACTTCTTATTCTTGTTCAACTAAATTAATAGAAAGCTCATATGTTTACTCAAATGAATTAGAAAAGTAATCTTTTGCTTTCAGCTACTATCTTCTAAACTTAATATCATCACGCACAGTATGTCCTTCAATCACAATAACATTCCAATGAAGATACAACACGCTGAATGCATTGACACATTTTCGTACAAACACAACTTCCTTTTTTAAATATTTATCCGCACTAACTAAACTAACTATATAACTGTATCTTCAATTGCGTTTCATAAAACAATGCATTCGGACGTATTTCGGTCAATTCGATGCATTGACAGCAGCATCCTGTGAAAGGTTTTTTTTCGATCCTGTCAATTAGATACCGTTCACTGGAAGAGAGATAGCTTCTTTTAATCATTAAACTTGATCAGAAGCATAAAATGACATGAATACGTCCCAAAACGTTCTAGAATAAAAATTAAAATGAGTTTGTATGCATTTTTGTCATGCTTTGAGATGAAAACGCGTCAGAACATCGAAATGTGCAACAAAAACGCTTCTAAGTGCGTCTAAAATACGTTTTGTGATTACATGGATCTCGGAATATATCAGAAAAGCCCAGGTCGAACTCATCCCATTGGATCCGATGGGAATTCGTCGGAAGTTGTCGGAATCCTTGGGACAGGATTCCGATAGAAAGTTATCGGACGTTGGAAAGTGTCGGTTTTCCAGGGTTCCGACAGGATTTGGGTCCCTTCCGACACTTTCCGACATCTTCCTACCGGAATCCTGTACCAAGGATTCCAACAACTTCCGATGAATTCCTGTCGGATCCGATAAAATCCGATAATTTTCCTGGCAAGATCCGACGGAATCCGACTGTCGGATTGCTCGTCCTGGGAGAATATTATTAGAGAGGATCAACACTTATTTTACGCCCTTTATGCTTGATTCTCCCATATTTTGAGAAGATTGTCAAGATTTAGAGAGTTCGATCTGTTGATAATTTCTCCGTCGTTTGGATTTCTTTTTGATTCTGGTTTTATAGAGAGTCTTGCTTATTACTGGAACACTCTGAAATCATATCAAAAACAGATTAAAAACTGTTAGAAATTCAAGTTTTGATGTTCAAGTCACGACTTAATTTTCATACCATATTCAGATGCAGCATAGCAGCAACCGTACTTCGTGTACTGCATTAGAAAGAGACTCATAATCATTAGTACAAATAAACATGAAAAAAAATATCCGCATCTTGTGGAATGCACCACATTCTACTCGAAATATTTGCAAATTTCGAGAATACGTTTCTGAACAATTCTCTCCAAGAAACCCTCGAATTTCTATATAAATTTATTTGTGAATGATTTATTTCAAACTAAAATTACGTCGTAGTCAGAAATAGTAAATGACATCTGATAGAATATATCCAGATGTACTTAGTGCATACTACGAGACGATCCGATCCCACCGAAAATTCGAACTTACATTCGATACTATACGTTATATAATAACGATTTTCACTTGGTTTTGTGAAACATGATCTAAAAGGAGCGCTGAAGTATATAGGGAAGGAATTTGTACCCTCCCCCCCCCCCCCCCACAGACTGTGACACAAACGGCATGAACCTATCACAAACAGTAACGGACGGCTTCAAGAAACTATTAGAGGCTATGTATAACTAACATATAATTGATATCTATGTAGAGAATATTTCATTGTTGAAGTTTTATGCAGTGAGATAAGGAATGATTATGATATATACTACAATATACATAAAAAAAAACGACAAGCTTTCAGGGACTGAGCATCAGTTTGTGTATTGTTGATTCGATTATTCTAGAAAAAAAAATAGAGAAAGAATGGCTGGTGTACCAAAAAAGAAACAATTCGACGGCGTCTATTATTTAAACGAACGCATCAAGAACTTAAAAGAAGAAATGATGGCTCTGATTATCAAAAGTGAAGAAAGAGGTATAAACTTGAAAACTAGAGACTTCCGACGATTCGACAAACTAAATGTAACAATCAATCAGCTGATGTTGGAACGTTTTCGACTACTCAGAAGGTCTCACAAGAATATGAAACTGCAAAATAACTCAGGTATAATTATGACACAACTAAATTTGAAGAGGGATGGGTGCGAGTGTGGTCGCTCACTTCGTTTCACACTCATTCTCATCTTCGTACTGAAAATAGTACTTGAAAGGGAAGTTGAGAACCTAAACCAAATATTGGAAATGCATAGAGAAGTTGATTTTTTAAATATTCGTGATTATAAGCCTAGTTTATCGGTATTTCTTCTGTCATTAATCTGTAGCAATCTTTAGTTTTAGTTCAAAATAAAACTAACGACAATCCATCCGAAATCAATAAAGACAATAAAGAAAAACGCAATCAACTCAAAACTGATGTGTGGGATGAAGAAAAAGAAGGCAGTCTCGAATTAGAAAAACAGCGACAATTGATATTAAAAGCTTACTATGATGCTTTTCCAAATATTGATGATGTTATAGATGAAACAGGATTAGAACTAGACGAAGTTGAAGCATTAACGAAATCGATCCTGCAAAATTTACCATCCGGAGACGTCAATGAAAGTACAACTGCATGTCATGTATTGAATAGCTTGCTTCAAGATAGAAATATAGAATGTTTATTTTTTGATTCAACTCATGGTAGAAATCTTCGTGATGCATTCAGAAACTTGACTGATATCAGCTTAGAAGATAGAGCGTTTGTATTGAAGTTAAAAAGCAATAAGGGATTAGGAGGTAGCATGAAACTAAAATCTGAGCTTGATGTAATAAGATTTGTACAAATATTAACAAAAGCAATTGAAGAAAAGAAATCTCATCCAGTAATTGAAGATATAGTTAATCGCTTATCCAAAGTTCATAACATCGATAAAAAATACATTTGTATAAAAGCTGTGTATGCTGGAACATTTAGCGTCGCTTATACTGTGCTTGATTTAGCGAAAAGTACTGTGAAATCACTTACAGAGATTGGAAAAAAATTAAAAGACCAATTTAATGAATATCTGACTGCAAAAATTCATCCATTATTATTTCGTCCTTCGTTCGATATATCACTTTTTCATGAACTCGGCAACAAAAAATTTTCCGATAATCCAGGAACCTATCAAATTGGTCCGCCTGGACACACTAAGCTGTATACCCAACCCGCCGGATGGACAAGATATGGGTTAAATGTGTTGGGCAAATATGTAGATGGTGACCTTTGGCTGGAACCATTTCAAGATTCTAGAAATTGGTACAGAGCATTCCATGGAACGGGACGTGCAAGCAGCGAGGATTTTGGCAATAAGGATCAGCCTTTCCAACAACAGTTTGCATCCGTCGATGCACTTGCAAATATATCGATCGAAGGATTTCGTCCTGCAAGGGTAACTGCTTACGGACCCGGTGTTTACTGTTCGCCAAATCCTAAGTTTCCTGAACAAGGATATACTGGAATTGCTGAAATAGACACAACGAAAGGAAAGAAAAAGTTCACATGCATGCTGCAAGTAGCTGTGAATCCTAGCGGTGTCAAGTTTACCTCTGAGAAAGACATATGGGTCGTACCCGATCCTCAAGACATTCGACCCTATGGTATACTAATTAAAGAAGCTTGATTGAATATTATAAAAATGTACTAATCCAGCGCTATTTGGCCCATATTTTAACTTCAAAGCCTGTATGGCGATAAACTTTCCTTTTTCTTCTACATTTGCGCTTTTGAGATTCCTTGTGAGAGTGTATAGAAGTTCCTATTAATTTAAGTCAAAGTATAATAATTATGGTCGAATATCTCGCTAAACTAAAGAAGAATATTTCGTCTATCCTTCAAAACAACTGCATAAGGTGGGTGTGAGCGTGGACATGGCTAGAAAAGACAGCAACATTCGCACCCACATCCAACTTTCTAATTTAGCCTTTTTGCAAAATGTTGCCACCACACTTTTTAGTGCTCAAAAAGAAAGCTTTTTTTTTACTATAAATTGTTCCGATGTTTTATTTAAAAAAACCACTATTTATGAATTCAACATTTGTTTATAGTCTCGTGTTACTTTGCAAAATTGTATTCCTTCCCAAGAATTATCTTTTCTACATGCTTAATATATATGAAATTGGTATTTCCATTGTTATAAGTAATAAGAATAATGTGTTTAGCAATGATCAAAGATTTACACATATTCGGATGTGACAATAAGAACGTATAGTACATTATTCAACTGATGGCTAATGTGAAGAAAGTTTCGGTATTTGGTTTTTGATAGTATTTATGAAACTTCGAACAATCAACATAGATATTGCTTAGACTATTATAGTTGAAATGAAAATTTCACGTAAAAAATCAGAACTATGCAGAGGAAAAAAAACATTGCTTTAGGTTGTGAATTTGAGTTCTAATGTAAATGTATCTCTTTTCTTCATCTTATGTCCACATCGATAACGACATGGATGCTCACCATTAAATCCAGATTACATTTAATACACTATTTTTTCCTTTTGATATCAAAGTTGAATTCATATTGTGCACTTCATCTACATATAAATTTTGCATATCAATTGACAAACTCATTACTATCTTCATAATATTGAATAAGTTATTTATTTGTTGTTTTTCTAATAAAGCATATATATTTAGTCATAAACATAAATCAATCGTTGCAAAATTCGAATGAAATATGCCACATATTCTCTTTCGAAATAAAAGCTTTCTAATCTAATCATTTTCTCTTTTCTAATCCTTGAAAATATCTACGTAGATATTCTTCGTAAATAATTTGAATTATTAATCAATTATATAATGGGCGCTCGAATCAAGTGAAACCGATGAAAAAATTAAAAATTAAAATATTTCAAAATCAACACCTACACCCTGTGATTCTTGGTATGGGCGTTGCTGTCAGCGCAATCATCTTTCTCAGTCATACCTACACCTTGCATAGACACAAATCAATTAGTTACTGCTTCTACATCTGCCGTTTTTCACTCAAACGAAAGAATTCAGAATTTTTTATTTATGAAGTTTTCGAGGGTGTGGGTGTGGGTGTGGGTGTGGGTTGTGGGTGTGGGTGGGTGGGTGTGGGTGGGTGTGGGTGTGGGTGCGGGGGTGGGTGTGGGTGGGTGTGGGTGTAGGTTACGCTGTAGGTGTGAGTTTTGGTGATTGATACTAAACAGATTACCTGGACCCATACCCACACACCCGCACCCACACCCAGACTCCACACCCACACACCCACACACCCACACCCACACCCAGACCCCACCCCCACATTCATATCCCACCCCACACCCCAAGGGGGAAAAAGCTGACTCCAATCCCTTGGAGTCCCGTGGAGTCCGGTGGAGTTCCGTGGAGTCCCGTGGAGTCCGGTGGAGTCCCGTGGAGTCCCGTGGAGTCCCGTGGAGTCCAGTGGAGTCCCGTGGAGTCCCTTAGAATTCCATGAAGTCTAATAGAACTCTCAAGAGTATTATGGGTAAACTTGATAGCTGTTTCAGGAAACTCTTTTATCAAGCTCTCTTTCATCACTTTGAACGTCAGAAAGAAAAAATATTTTCTAAAATATATAAACCTTTGGTGGAAGCACATTTTTTTAATCATCTTCTGCCTGCATCAAACTAAACTCATTCTCTAACTATCCTTCGAATAAAATAGCGCTTCTCTTCAACTGTATTTAATTAATCTATGTTGATTAAATCATCCGTTGTTTAGGGATACCTTTAGGTTTTCAAGTCCTATATTGCGGGGTATCCGTAGATCCTGAAGTCCTATATAATGGGGTACCCATAGGTCCTCAAGCCCTACTTTATGACGGTACCTTTAGGTGCGCAAGTCCTATATAATGAGCGTACCCTTAGGTCCGCAAGTCGTGGGTTATGAAAGTACCTTTAGGTCCTCAAGTCCTATATAGCGGGATACCTTTAGATCCTCGAGTCCTATATTATGACGATACCTTTAGGTGCTCAAGTCCTATATAATGGGGTATCCTTAGGCCTACAAGGTCTATTATACAGAGGTACCGAAAAGTCCCCAAGGACTGTTGTACAGAAGTACAGATAGGTCCTCAAAGCCTATACGATAGCGGTACCCACAAAATATCAAGCGGTATTATATAGGAGTACCCATAGTTCCCGCAGAGCTATACGAGAGGAACAACCATAGGTCTTTACGGACTCTCTCGTAATGGTAGCCATAGCTCCTCATAGCATATAGCAAGCGGGATCCCAGTAGTATGTGCCTTGAGGATCTATGTGCATCATTTACTACATGCTTTGAGCAGGGTTTCCGAGTTGGGGGATGACAGGCCTTGCACGTAACGAACTTCACACTTTCTGCAAAAAGCATTGATAATACTTTCTAGGAAATCGATAACTACACTATCGTAGAAAAGACGTCAATTTGCTCTAACCAAATCAAAGGAGGCATGGTCTCTGGCAAATTCTTGCCGAACGTCCACGTTATTTAGGTCGAACATCTCGCAGGAAATGCAGTCCTCTCTTTTATATTTCTTGCAGAAACCCGATCGTATTTACGCCGCATTTTCTCCTAAACTTTGAAATCTATGCAAGAAATATGGAACACATAACATCGATTTTGCGCAAGAAATGGAACAAAAGCAACGTTGACTTTGTGCGCTGAAAATGACGGCGTTTCCGCAAAGTTTGTATCCTACCCGCACCATCCTCAAAATCAATCATGAATCCTGCCCTTCAGCACCTATCAGCAATTCTATATAATCCTTAGGACTGACAAAAAGTTTTGGCAACGTTGTTGGCAATTTTATAAACCAATTAACATGGAGAATTTTTTGCATGGATAAATAGTGGAACGCATTTTCTATAATGATTTATATGCAAATAAACCGCTCCCGCAATGAAAGGTCCCGGGCCTTATATTATGGCGAGTCACATTCGGCACAAATTCCACCAAAATTCCCGGTAAAATACACAATTCTCGCGAAAAACCTCTCTTGGGGGCCTTCTAAATAGTGGGACCCTGTAATACGGGGGAGGTCTTCTATTGCGGAGAGGGATTTACCGTGGATCAAGGCGATCCACTGCGTCCCTTGACTGTAGATTTGAACTACCACCTTGCGGATAAATACAAAAACACACAGTTGTTTTCGAGATTAAGACTCTGACTACAGTCAAGGGAATAGCCCTTGAAGACCTAAGAGTGCCCCCATTATATAGGACTTGATGACCTGAAGGTACCATCATAATATAAGACTTGAGAGGCTATGGGTACCTCCATAGTATAGATCTTGAGGACTTGCGGTTACTCC